TTACAAGAAGAAATCTGCATGGATATCCCACAAGGTTTAATGGATAATTAACACCAAATAAGATATGTAAAGTAAAAAAGGCATTGTATGAACTCAAACAGCCACCAAGTGCATTGGTTGGTAGGTTCAAAAAGGTAGGGATAGATTTGGAATTTAAGTAGGCTCAAAGAGATTGCACTATGTTCATCAAACTCAAAAATAGGGGGAATTACAGCTTCCCTAGTATATATTTATAACATTATTATAATATAAAATGATGAGAATAACCACAAATAATACTAAAAAAGTACCTGGCAAAAGAATTTGAAATCAAAGAACCACACAAAATAAATTATTTCTAAAAATTGAAGTTGTTTTGCTTTATATATCAACAAAAATACAAACTAGCATGCAAACAAGCTAGTACACTTATTGACTCTAATCACAAACTAGGAATAACAGAGGAAAAAATGCCAATAAAAAACGTACCATAGATTAGTTAGGAGATTGCTCTACCTATTCCATATAAGACCAGATATCGCCTACATAGTACTTATTATAAGTCAATTCATATACAATCTGAAATAGTACACCTACAAGTAACCTATAAAATACTGTAATATTTAAAAGAATTACCAAGCAAATGAATTATGTTTAAGAAGAATGAAAAATTGCTTCTATAAGCCTATGCTAATAAAGATTATGCAAGATTAGCTGTAGACATAAGATCTACTACAAGCTATTGCACCTTCCCTCATAACAATCTAGTCACCTATAGAAGTAAGAAACAAAATGTAGTTGTGAAATCAAAATTTCAAATGATAGCACAAGGGATATATGAACTATTATAAATAAAAAAAGAATTTTAGAATAGCCTAGAATCAAGTGAGAGATTTCTATGCACCTATACTGTGATAACATGTCAGTCATAAATATCGGTCACAAAAGATATGTAAACTATTATAAATAAAAAGAATTTTGAAAAATTTTAGAATCAAGTGAAAAAATTTTATGCACTTACACTATGACAATAAATTGGCTGGGTATCGTTCATAATCCGGTGCAACACGACAAGACCAAGTACATTAAGATTGACAAACATTTTATCAAAGAAAAACTTGACAATGGCCTAATATGTACGTCATACATGTCCATCAATCCTCAATTGGAAGACGTGTTAACTAAAAGTGTAAGCAATTCGATATTCTTATTCCTTTATGTTTTGCAACAAGCAAAAAAAATTCACTGTGATTTTCTCAAAAAAATCAGAAAATTGAGAGAAATAGAGTGAGAAAGAGAGAGCTTATAAAGATGTTCCCTCTTTGTTTTAGAGGAGAATAAGAAAAATTTACAAAATGTATGAACCAAAAAGAACCAATGGTTTAAAGGAAAGCCAAAATAAAAGATTGGATTTTGTAGCACTATAAAGTCACTTCAAGTCATACATTCATTTGCTTTGATCGACCAAATGAAAATCTTAGTTCTAATGCCTTAGAACAACTTATACATGTGATACTGTACTGATGAAACATTTTCTAAGGATTTACTTTTTTTTAATTTAATATTAAATTCATAATTTTCAGATTTTAGATGATATCAGAAATAATCTAAAAAATATACTACAAGCCAAAATGTCCCCCCCAAAAAAAAGCACAAGAAAGAGCAGAAAAGAAAAGAAAAACAATGGAAAAAGAAATCTAATCATTAAGGAGACAAGTTAAAGAAATGGGAGTGAAGATAGGAACTTGAATAGGAAGCTTTGTCCTGGGGAATACTAGTTATACTAGGCAACAAAGGCGTGTACAAAGTTGTTTCATTAAAGACCCAAGTAAAGTTGATCAATAAAAATAAATTTGGCATTCTGAAAGGAAGGGAATGTTCATCCCTTTAAATCGAAACTGAATGCTTGGAAAATCCATTAATTCCAAAGTCCAGTTTTGGTCTGACTATTGGTGCGGTAATACCAAACTGCAGAACCTTTTTCCACTTATTTATGTTATATCTAAGGACAAAAACATGCTCATTGAGAAGACTTTTGATATTGAAAAGGGTAATGGCTGGAACATTGTGGTCAACAGGAATCTGCGAGATTGGGAAATTGAGGAATATGAAAAATTTCTGCTATTTTTGGACGCCATCCAGCTCAACAATAAAGAGAGTTGAGCAAAGACGACAGTTAATCTGGTCTTTCAATAAAACAGCTCCTTCACCGTCAAATCATTTTACTACTACCTAGATGGCCACAGCTGTTCAAAGAGAACGGATTTCCCAGAAAAAATGATTTGGAAGACTAATGCACCACCTAGAATATCCTTCTTTGCTTGGGAAGCATCTAAAGAACACATATTGACTATTGACAATATCATGAAGAGAGGTATTATTTTAACTAACAGGTGCTTTCTTTGCAAGAATAATGCTGAATCTTGCAATCACCTTTTGCTTTGGTGTCCCACCACTTATAGCTTATAGACCATGGTCTACGGACTATTGGGTATATGCTGGGTCATGGCTGGTTCCGTCAAAGATGAACTGTATGCTTGGAAAATTGTGTGCAAGAGGAATAAGAATTTCAGACTCATTCCGCTCACTATATTTTGGGTCATTTGGAAAGAAAGAAACAATAGAGCCTTTGAAGAGAAAAAAGATATTTTGGACAACATTAAGAATATATGGTTTCATTATTTTGGTTCCATTGTTCTGGGACATAACCTTGTTAACCCTGATGATTTTGGTTCAATTGTATATATACGTATTGGCATGTGAATTTTTTGTATATGGGAGGCGCTCCCTAGGTGCCGACACATCATTATACCTTCTACACTTTTATCTCAAAAAAAATTTAACAAAGAAAACATATATCTAAAGTAACCAGAAGAATATTCAAGGTCAAAAATTTATGGCCCCAAAACACTTAGTACATTTTCAAATTTCAATGACAGCCTCCTTATGTGATGCAAGCTTGCTAGTTTTTTTCCCTAAAGGAGGTTAACAATGCGTCAAGGTTTAACCAGCAATGTATAGAATTATGAATTAACAAATTACTAATCTAAGACATCCCCTAAATTTTTCTCCATATTAAGAAGATGACCCCTGAACAAGAAACAAAGGGAACATAAAGGACATCTAATCTTGGGGAAGGGAGAGCACAAACCTTCAAACGCCCTCCTCTTCCAGTACTTCCTAATGACACAAAGATCATATAGACTGTGTACAAGCTGTTTCAGTCCATCCCTCTTTGCTCAGATGGTAAGATTTCATTATTTATTTATAAATTCCTTAATTCAGACTATGCATACAGTTCAACCCAAAGTATACTCTATTGATAATGACTAGAAAATCATATTGAAAAAAAGCAGGAGTTCTTAGGAGCTTCAGGAAGGTGCCACCATGATATAAGTTCGGTAAATCTCTTATTCGACTCATCCTATTTGACCCATCATTGGCAAGTGAAGAAGAGATAGAAAAAGAGTAAGTGGTAGTTGTTAAGACTTCATTGTACTTCAGTCACAATATATATATATAAGAATATTAGTTAATGTAACTCTATTATTCAACACAATGTTTTAAAAATTGTAACAGATCACAGGAGTTTAATCACTCAAGTTCAATTTCATTAGACTCCAGATTTTCTCACGTGAAACATCAAGATTTACAAACAATAGAATATGCTAGTTCTACAAGCACCCACCAGATACAATAAAATATCAACAATCTTAATGACAATAAATTACCCCACATAAATACCAAGCATTTTCTTGAAGCTAGAAACAAAATACCGTCAATTTTTAACCAAAATAATTAAAAATACATTTAATGCACTGCAAGAGAAAAGAAAAACTAACTACTTATCAACACAAAATTCAATAAACATAAAAAAGAAAGCAACCAGCAAAAAAGAAAAACTATTCTGTAATGTCCAAGCGCAAAAGGGAATCAACAGAAAATCACAAGAAAACAAAGCAACAGCAGCATCAATCACGGGAACCTCCAGACAAGGGCAGAACAAAGCTAACATGATACCAAAAGACGCAATACCCACATAAGTATTCAACTGCCTGACAAAGCTGGAGAAGTTACTGTGCTTAAAATATTTAGGCAAGAGGTCCCTAGCAAATTCAGGAACACTCCAAACCACGAAACTGTTGCCGCTGTTACTCCACGTCACTACAGAATTAGTGGACGAGTCGTCGACCATGTCATAGGTCTTGCTCAGAAACGGCGGCACTGAATTCCCATTTGCCGCCGCAGAGTTCACCGCTGATATTGAATCGTGAATCGAGTCCATCGTCTCTGGGAAGAAGATAGAGGATGGAGTAAGGTTTTTGCTGATTAGCAACGTAATAACAAAATTAGCCAACCCGTGACTGATTTAGTTAAAAACAAGATTGCAGGAAGAAACTGAGAAAGTTAATCACAGAGGGGGAAAATGGAAGTAGCGGTAGAGCATAAACGTAATACACATATATATATCTATATGGGGAGAGAGAGAGAGAGAGAGAGAGAGAGAGAGAGAGTATACAGCGTAAGTACACAATCGGGATTGGGGAGACAGAGAAAGTGAAGTGAGCTAAGAAAGAGGAGAAAAAGGGAAATGAAGAGAGAAGTGAATGAAGGGAATTCTGAAAGAAAGGTAAGGACGGAGAAGGAGAAAGAAACTGACACGTAGCAGTCGTGACACATCTTTTTTATTTATATTTAATTATTATAAATCTACGAGTTCCCATAATTCTTAATTCCGCAGAAAACCCTGAATTTCGCGGTCTGGTGCCACCGTTTCACCTCTTCCTCCGTTGTCGTTTTTGTCTCATCTACCCCTGTAATTTTTTTTTTTTTATCGGCAGTGTAAATTTTTATATTTATTGAAATATATAAAATTATTAAAGATAATTATTTTATTTTATTAATTTAAAATATTTATTATTAATTATTTCAATTAGAATTTAATTATTCTTCATGTACTAAGTAAATGATTAAAAGGTTCAATTCATAATTAATGAATTTGTAATTTCACTTCTTATTGGGTGCAAACTAATAAAATCTTTTAATAAGTTCATTATAATTGACTATATATCAATAAAATTTTATTATTTATACATAAAAAAATT